TTGCCACCACAAAAGGTTGCTTTCTGCCATGCGCTACTCTGCCTTGGAGCCAGTTGAGTATGGACTGAAACCTTTAGTGACTGTGAGCTAAATAAACCTTTCCTTCCCTAATTCTGAGTGTCAGGTATTTGTCCCAGCAATGAAAGAGTAACTGAAACATACACCTAAAGGGCCTTAGTCAAACAGATTCCTTGTGAAAGAATATTATATATCTGTAAAAAAAGAATGAGGAAGTTTCATAATGGGACATCTATAGCACAAGTGACAAAAAAAATGGGGAAACAAGGGGCTGGGGAAATGGCTCGGTAGAATCAGCACTTCCTTGGCAAGCACAAGGGCCTGCGTTCAAGCCCTGGTTCCACCAAAAAGAAAAGAAAAGAAAAAGAAAAAGAAAGAAAGGAAAAGGAGAAACTGGATTTCATTAAAATTAAAAAACTTGTGTACAAAGGAGGACACTATAAAGAAAGTGAAAAGGCAACTCAAGAAAGAAAAATAAATATTTGTAAAGTATGTATAAGGGACTTATATATACAGAATATACAAAGAATTTTAATAACTCACTAATAAAATCAGGCAGCGGGGTGTGGAAGCACTTAGCACTTCGAAGGCTGAGACAGGAGGATTACTGGGAATCTGAGGTCAGCCTGGGCTACAAAGTAAGTTCAAGACCAGCCTAAACTACATGGTGACACTCTGTCTAAAAAAGACAAAAACAAACAAAACCAACCCAAGACCAAAACAATAAAATTGGCAAATGACCCAATTAGAAATAGACAAAGAAGCTGGACATGGTGGCATATGCCTGTAATCCTAGCTATTCAGGAAGTTTAAGGAAGAGGATAGAAAGGTTGAGGACAGCCTTAACAACCTAGCTAGCAAGCACATCTTATAAAAAAAAAAAGGACAAAGCACCTGAACATCCCCCCCCACAACCCCACCAAAGGCCATTTGGCCAGTATGTCCAGGAAAGGATGCTCAACATCCTCAGTCATTGGGAAAATGCAAATCAAAACCAAAATGAGAGCCACAGGCATCCTGGTGCAGGCCTGGAACACCAGCTACATGGAGACTGGGGCAGCAAGTCTGAGGGCAGCCCGGGCAATTTAGCAAGCCCTGTGTCAAAATGAAACTTAAAAGGAGTCATGGATGTGGCTCAGTACTACAGCAGATGTGTAGTATGTTATAGGTTGCTCAGAATAGGAACTAGATCAGAAGCCAGATTGGAATTTATAAGAGCCTTTATTAATGAGCTCAGGGCCACCAGTCATTTCTCACTCAGGAGAAGACCAAGGGCACCTAGCTTGGGAAGCAAGGAGCTTTTAAAATGAAAGGCACATGACTAAGGGGTCCTTCAAAGTTCAGTAATATGCACAACTTGCCTGTGTGGGGGCTTGTTGAGCAAGCCGTGTTTACAAAATACATCTTAAGCTCACTATGTTTACAGGAATTAAATTAGGGAGGGGAGGGAGACAGTTACTCATTACTAAACAGCCTTGAACAGAGGGATGAGAACACATTTCTTAGAATAGATAACAGGAAGCATAAGGGAACCTAATAGTTTTCTATAGTTACAGCTCAAAATTCAGCTGACCCATTGCATAGTATATATAAGGCCCTGAGTTCCATCCCCAGCACTGAAAATCAAAGCAACAAAACCCCCCACAATGACATAATACTTCACAACTACGAGGCTATAACTAACAAGAAGAAGAAAATAACACCTGTTGGTGAGGATGTTGAAAACCCAGGGTTCTTAAATATTCTGATGAGAATTTAAAATGGTGCAGCTGCTGGGGAAAAGAGCTTGACACTTCCTCAGAAATTAACCACGCAGTTATCATGAGTCAGCAGTTCCATCCCTCAGTCATATACCCAGGAAAACTGAAAACACGTCCATGCAAAACCTTGTACATTATTTGGGCTGGGGTGACAACTCAGCAGCATAAGTGCCTGACTGGCATGCACATGGTCCCAGTTCAATCCCTGGTACTGAAAAAAATATATATATTATTCATAAAGCAAAAAAGAAAATAACCCCTAAATGTTCATCAATTGATGAATAAACAAAATGGAAAATTATTCAGCAGAAAAAAAAATAGAATATTTACATAATATAGTATAAATGAACCTTTAAAACCCAATGCTAAGTGCAAGGTGCCACATATCATGATTCCACTTACAGTATATGGGAATGTCCAGAACAGATAAAAATCATATTTTGGTTTTTTTTTTTTTTTTTTTTTTTTTTTTTTTTAGGGATCAGTTTACAGAGTGTTCAGGGTCTCACTATTAGATCAGACTCTTAGTGATCCACCTGTTCACAGCCTCCCGAGCTGGGATTACAGACACATGCCACCACGCCCAGTCTCACTTGCCATTTCAGTGTGCCACGGGTGGGGCCAGCATGACAGGCCCAGGGATTAAACCCTTGGCTCCTGTGCCTGCTTGCAGGCGCTTTAATCCACTGAGCTATTTGGTTGCCCTTGGCAAATCTATATTGACTGCTAATGGGTGGGTCTTCTTTGAAGGTAATAAAAATGTCCTAAAATTAGGCAGTGGCAGTGGTTGCCCAACCCTGCAAATGTAGTAAAAAACAGAGTTGTACGTTACAGAATAGTAAGTTTTACAGTATGTGAAATATATCTCAAAACACTTTTTTATGTATATGGTATACAGTCTCAGTATGTGAAGTACATCTCAAAAAAGGTTTTTTAAAACAAGTTAAATGGTAAAAAAAAAAAAAAATTAAAAAAAAAAGTTTTTTTTAATGTATTTGGTACAAGGTCTCACTACACAGCTTGAACTTGTAGCAATCCTCCTGTCACAGCTGTCCCATCGCTGGGATTACAGGCACATGCCACCATGCCCACCGGGTTTAGGTAGCCAGCTAGGCACTCAGGGCTGGCATGTGGTACTGGGGATCGAACCCGGGTTCTTATGCTTGCCAGGCAGGCGCTTAGACCACTGCGCTATCTCCCCAACCCAGCAACAAATTTGTAGTTCCATCTTAATTCAGTAGGTCAATATAACCATTACATGTCTAAATACTAAATATATATATTTATCCTCAGACTTACTCATGATTGTTTCTATTAATGTTAATTTAAAAAAAGATTTTTTCTATTTTAATGTAGATATGAATAAGCCCCTTAAAATTCAGTCAAAAACAACAGAAAACTCAAAAAACAAACAAAAAAATAACCACACCATCAACAAGCCCTGTCAGTACTGGAAAAGAGAAGGGACTTCTGAAAGGCTGATAATGTTCTAGATTCGCCTACCCTCTTTCTTACTGGAAATTGAACGAGGGATGTTCTACCACCGAGCTACATCCCCAGCCTTTTTTTTTTTTTTTAATTTTATTTATTTATTTGTGTGTGTGTGTGTGTGTGTGTGTGTGTGTGTGTGACCAGCTCAGCCCACCAGGGGACCGGGCCGGCTGGCATGTGGTGCTGGGGGATTGAACCGTGGTCCCTGTGCTTTGCTAAGCTTGTTCTAAGTAGGTGCTTTAGACCACTGAGCCATCTCACCAGCCCTCCCAGCCTTTTTTATTGTCAATATTTCTTTTTGCCATTTTTGAGATAAGGTGTAGTTAGCCCAGGCTGGCCTTGCGGTTGAGGTATCCTTCTGTCTCACTCTCCCAAACGGAGTGGGATTACAGGCATGTGCACTGCAGTTGGTTTTGTTTTTCTATCTGAATGCTATACACATGCACTGGGGCTGGGGCTGGTGTGTGTGTGTGTACAGTACAGTGCTTGCCTGCATGCCCCAAACCGAGTAAAAAAAGACTGAATACACGGGTGTATTAGGTTTGTGAAAATTTACAGTATACTTAAGACATGTGGGACATTCTGTAAAAAGCAAATAATAAAAGAGTGGAGAGAAAGTGGAGAATGTAAACAAAAGTACTGGATTACCGAAATTCATTTCTGGCCTGGATCCACTCTCTGGTCTTTAGTTTGCAATTTAAACAGTCGGTCTGGCACTCAGATGGGTTCCAGGGCTGTCCCCTCTTTCACTCACCGGTCATTCAGGGCAAAAGCAGAACCTGTAGAGAGCTTCAGCCTACACGCTTTTGCTAAACTGCAGGGCCTTTCTTCAGTCATTTCACCAGGTGGAAAACCCAGGGATCTTTGGAGTTCCAATTCCAAAACCACTTCTTACAACCCGACCCCAGCTCCCTGCTGAAAACCTTTCTGCCCGAAGCACAAACCCCACCACGTCCTCTTTGCCTGCTTAGCACTGGCAGGCCTTAGGGAGACGGAGTTTGGTAAACAGCTGCTAAGTGAATGAATGAACTACTGGATTCGGCCCACAGCGCTACGCTGACAAGACCGCGCCCAGGATACAAAACCGCGAGCACAGGTCTAGGTTTGCCACCGGAAGTCAGCGGCGGCCTCAGACTGACCGCTCTTCAATCCTGGAGGACTGGGATCTCTGTGGCTGGACCAGAAGGGTCAGTCTCTACCGCGGGTGATTGACACACTCTCAGAAGGCCCAGGACAGAGAACAGGGGTAGTACATTCCCCCGGGACGCTGGCTGATAAAATAAGGGGAGTGGTCAAAAAGAGGAATTTCCGGAGCTGGTTGCCAAGGTAACACATCTCCGCCCCACAGCCGGCCGGGTAAACCCAGCGCTAGCCGGGGATTAGTTTGGGGAGGTGGAGCCGATTGACGGAGAGCGCGCGCGTTACGTGCAGGGGTGTAGCCCTCCATTCACAGGCGCCCCAGCCTTCCGGCGCGCATGCGTCGGGGGACGGAGCCGGGCGAGAAGTACCTCGGCGAAGCGCTGAGCTGCCTTTGGGCGGCTCCCTCCAGAGAGCTGGACAGCGGCGGGCGCGCGCGGGTTGGTGGAGGTGTGGCTTTACTAGCCTGGGGGCTCCGATTGGATGAGGCAAATTAAAGGGGTGGGAACCTCCGCAGAGGCCGCTCGGCGATTGGCTAGAGAATGGAGGGAGCGTGGTCTTGGGGGCGGGATAGGACCCGGTTGGGGTGCGACGGACTGGGCAGTATGCCGCGCTGAGGTGGTGGCGCCGGCCCTTGACCAAGTCAGCGGGCGAGCCTTGAAGCCCTGCTCTGCTGAGGACAGGAGGCAGGCGAGCCCCGGGATCGCCAGAGCGCTGAGGAGGCGTGGGGGCCGGCGCCATTCGGTGAGTGTGGTCCCAAGGAAGCCCAAGTGCCCCGCCCCTCCCTTTCTTCCTGGACTGCGCTGCGCAGCGCCCTCCCCCACTTCAGACCCCGGCTTGGGCTCAAGCACCGACTCCCTGTGTAGGAGGTCTGCTGAGTGCTTGCGGCTGTCTTTCTCCCCCTGCGCGGCCCCGGGCCGGTTTAGGGAATATGGAAATTTTCTGGCCCCTCTCTCCAAACCACGGAAGGGAAACTGAGGCTGGGGGCTGCTCAGGGGGCTGGCCCCTCCTGATCAGCATCTCCACACAGACACCATGGCCGAGCCCTTAAAGGAGGAAGATGGCGAAGATGGCTCTGGGGAGCCTCCCGGGCCGGTAAAGGCAGAACCCACCCACACCGCTGCCTCTGTCGCTGCCAAGAACCTGGCCCTGCTCAAAGCCCGCTCCTTCGATGTAACCTTTGATGTAGGGGACGAGTACGAGATCATTGAGACCATAGGCAATGGGGCCTATGGGGTGGTGTCCTCTGCGCGCCGCCGCCTCACGGGTGAGCTTCCTGAGCCTTTCACAGATGTGGAAACAGTTCTCAGAATGGGTGAGAGGGGGAAGCAAGCTGGACTGTGCGTTCTGATTTAATTCAACTCTTACTGATAGGCACCTGGCCCATAGTTAGGCACTATTCTTAGGTGTGGCTATGCTATCACCCTACTTTTTCCTTAGAAAAATGATAATCCCAGTTAGACCAGAAGCAAGAGCTGGTCCTGAACATCAAGAATGTACTAGAGCCAAAAACTGGCACAAGGGATTAGAGGTGGGATTGGGAGATCTGAGATGGAGAGAAAATATATGGGAGGAGAATGAACACAGGTCTTAGAGTCAAGACTACCACGAAGCAGTTGTGCAACCTCCAGCAAGTTACTGAGCCTATAAATGAACTATTAGTACCTGCTGTGTGTGGCTCATGGTAGCCAACATATGGTAGCTGCCATTGTTTTTGTCCTAGAAGGGAGTGTTGAAAGGGTCCTGCAGCTACACCAAGGTACCCTCTGCTATCTGCCTTTCCCTGTTCCCCAGGCCAGCAGGTGGCCATCAAGAAGATCCCAAATGCTTTTGATGTGGTGACCAATGCAAAACGGACCCTCAGGGAGCTGAAGATCCTCAAACACTTCAAACATGACAATATCATTGCCATAAAGGATATCCTGAGACCCACTGTGCCCTATGGAGAGTTCAAATCTGTGTAAGGAACAGGATGGGAGAGGGAGGCATCATTTGGAATCATTTTGGAAGGCCAGGACCACATTTCTGAGTTCTGGAAGGGCAGCTATACTTAATGTGAGGTGAACTGGGAAAATTACCGTAATTCCAGGACTAGTGCTTCTTTAGGGAGATGACCAACATAGCTGTTATTTCTCAAGAAGTGTATTGGTGTTACACTTTTATAGAATCTGAGAATATAAGCTGGCAAACAGGACATTCACCCTACCACTGTACTTTTTTTTTTTTTTTTTTGCTGTATTTAGGACATGGTGTACAGGGTTTCACTACATAAATTGGACTTGTAGTGATTCTCCTGTTTTCAGCCTTCCAACTGCTGGGATTACAGGCGCCTGCCACCATGCCCAACTTCAATCACTGTGTCAGTGCACCCCACTGGCAGGGGCATCATGGCATGCTGAGGATCAAATCCCAGTCCCTGTGCTCTGCCTAAGCAGGTGCTTTAGTTCGCTGAGCTATTAGGCTGGCCCTAAGTGATAGGCCATCAAAGTGAGGCATGCTTTTTCATTTTCCCTTTCTTTGAGGGGAGGGTGTTTTTTTTTTTTTTTTGGTGGTACCAGGAATTGAACTCAGGACCTGGTACTTGCCAGGCACGTGCCGTGCTGCTGAGCTATATCCCTGGTCCTTGTACTTTCCTATTGTCATAACAGACATCATTAATTGATCACAGAATACGTATAGAAAATGGATTCAGTTTTCATTATAGTCCTTTTATACAGCCACTACCACTTCCCTTGTTGTTTTCTTCCCCAAGTTGTTATACTCTAGCATCCCGTCTCTCAATCTTCAAGAGGCTAATCACCATTCTGCCATCTTCCCAGAAGTCTCCTAATGAGCCACTACTAAACCACAGAGCTATTCCAAAACTATGCCTATTGGCCAGTCCTGGTATAGTTGAGCCTCATCTAATAGGGAAACTAGGTTGGGGGGTTGGGTAGGGGAATAACTCAGTCAAGTTCATGGAAAGGATGTAGAGAATCTAGAACTGGGACTCATCTCCCGTACCATGCTCTCATCCCTTTAAGGGCCCAGGATAATGCCCTTACCTGTCTAGAGTCAGGAATGAGTAGTAAGAATGGGGCTTGTGCCTATAATGTGGCTAGTTCAATCCATGCCTCTCATTTCCAGCTATGTGGTCTTGGACCTGATGGAGAGCGACCTGCACCAGATCATCCATTCCTCACAGCCGCTCACACTGGAGCATGTCCGTTACTTCCTGTATCAGCTGCTGCGGGGCCTCAAATACATGCACTCAGCTCAGGTCATCCACCGTGACCTCAAGCCCTCTAACCTTCTGGTGAATGAGAACTGTGAGCTCAAGATTGGTGACTTTGGTATGGCCCGTGGCCTGTGTACCTCCCCTGCTGAGCACCAGTACTTCATGACTGAGTATGTGGCTACTCGCTGGTACCGTGCCCCAGAGCTTATGCTCTCCCTGCATGAGTACACACAGGCTATTGACCTGTGGTCTGTGGGCTGCATCTTTGGTGAAATGCTGGCCCGGCGCCAGCTCTTCCCAGGCAAAAACTATGTGCATCAGTTACAGCTGATCATGATGGTGCTGGGTACCCCATCGCCAGCTGTGATTCAGGCTGTGGGGGCTGAAAGAGTGCGGGCCTATATCCAGAGCCTGCCGCCACGCCAGCCTGTTCCCTGGGAGACAGTGTACCCAGGTGCTGACCGCCAGGCCCTCTCACTGCTGGGCCGCATGCTGCGATTTGAACCCAGTGCCCGCATCTCGGCAGCTGCTGCCCTTCGTCATCCTTTCCTGGCCAAGTATCATGACCCTGATGATGAGCCTGATTGTGCTCCACCCTTTGACTTTGCCTTTGACCGTGAAGCCCTTACCCGAGAGCGCATTAAGGAGGCCATTGTGGCTGAGATCGAGGACTTCCATGCACGGCGTGAGGGCATCCGCCAGCAGATCCGCTTCCAGCCTTCCCTGCAGCCTGTGGCTAGTGAGCCTGGCTGTCCAGATGTTGAGATGCCCAGTCCCTGGGCTCCCAGTGGGGACTGTGCCATGGAGTCACCCCCCCCAGTCCTCCCACCGTGTACAGGTCCTGCACCTGACACCATCGATCTGACTCTTCAGCCCCCTCCACCAGCTAGTGAGCCTGCCCCACCCAAGAGAGAGGGTGCCATCTCAGACAATACCAAGGCAGCTCTCAAAGCCACTCTACTCAAGTCCTTGCGGAGCCGACTCAGAGGTGCCTTGGTGCAGCCGCTGGCTGGGGACTGGGGTGTTACAGGGACCCTCCGGCTCGGACAGGGCTGAGGGCTCTTACTTTTCTCCTGCCTGACCTCCTGCAGATGGCCCCAGTGTACCCCTGGAGGCTCCTGAGCCTCGGAAACCCGTGACAGCCCAGGAGCGCCAGCGAGAGCGGGAAGAGAAGCGTCGGAGGCGACAAGAGCGAGCCAAGGAGCGGGAAAAGCGGCGACAAGAGCGGGAACGCAAGGAGCGGGGCACTGGGACCTCGGGGGCCCCCTCCACTGATCCCCTGGCTGGACTGGTGCTTAGTGACAATGACCGAAGCCTGCTGGAGCGCTGGACTCGAATGGCCCGGCCCCCTGCCCCGCCTCCAGCCCCAGCCCCAGCAGCATCTCCAGCCCAGTCCACCAGCCCCCCTGCTGCCCCTGTAGCCCAGCCCGCTGGTCCCCCGCCACAACTTGCAAGCTCCACTCCTACTCCTGCACCCCAGCCTGCTTGCTCACCCCCTGCTCCCCACCCTGCCGGCCCTCCTGGACCCATCTCTGTCCCTGCATCACTCCAGACTGCCACATCCACTAACCTTTTGCATCCCCCATCGCTTGTGCCAGCCTCTGGGTTGCCTGGCCCCAGCACCATAGTTCTGCCTTATTTCCCATCTGGTCCACTCCCTCCAGACCCTGGGGGCCCTCCTCAGCCTTCTACATCAGAATCACCTGATGTCAACCTGGTGACCCAGCAGTTGTCTAAGTCACAGGTAAGAGGAGAGACCCATACTATGGGAACATCTAGATCTGGGCCCATGGATTTGGGAAGTTGTCATTGTTCTGTGAAAACGGATGGAGTTTTCTGTCTGAACTTACTCCTTTGTTCATAGAAAGAGCACAAAATCAATGACATTGTTGAAGACAAATGATATACTGCCTGGGAAGTACCTGGCCTAGGGATGGGCCCCAGTTGGTGCTCAGGGATATCTAGGCAGAATGGTCAGCATCAGGGCAGGTGTGTCTGGCCTTGTTGACACTTGTATTGTAACCTACCATTATCCCCTACAGGTGGAAGACCCCCTGCCCCCTGTGTTCTCAGGCACACCAAAGGGCAGTGGGGCTGGCTACGGTGTTGGCTTTGACCTGGAGGAATTTCTAAACCAGTCTTTTGACATGGGTGTGGCTGACGGGCCGCAGGATGGGTAAGCTGGCTGGACTGAGCTCTTGGGGTGGGACGGTGAGGAAGGGTTCCTGCTGTAGAAAGAGCTTACTGGTGGGATAGCTGCCAAGCTGGCCTAGGCTAACAGCATCCCTCCCTCCCTCGTTCCTGATCCCCTTTTCCTGCAGCCAGGCAGACTCGGCCTCACTCTCAGCCTCCCTACTTGCCGACTGGCTTGAAGGCCATGGCATGAACCCCGCCGACATTGAGTCTCTGCAGCGTGAGATCCAGCTGGATTCCCCGATGCTGCTGTCTGACCTGCCTGACCTCCAAGAGCCCTGAGGACCACAGCCGGTGCCTTGCTGCCAGGGCAGACACAGCCCCAAGACCCATGGGAGCATTCCTGGGTTCTGGCCCCTGGGCCCGTCAGGTGAGGCTCAGCTTGGACTATTCTGCAGGTTCATCTCAGACCCACCCTTCAGCCTTAAGCAGCCATCTGAGCCACTGCCGAGCCATGTTGGGTTTGAGACCCTGACTCCCTCTGAACAATCCTTTTCAGTATTATATTTTTATTATTATTGTAATATTATTATGCAGTCTTTTTGCCATCAGAATGAAGCCTGTGAAATACAAGGTTCACTTTAATGCCTGACTCCAGGTGTCATTTTTGGACATGGGGGTGGGCAGTACACCATAAGTAGGGGTACAGGGAGAATACAAGTCCCCTCATTTGGGGGCCAAGAAAATGGTTGTATGCACAAAGCCAGTGCATTCAGGTCCTGAAGGTTTATTGAGACTTCCACTCTCCACCCACTCCCAACCCTCAGATGGCCAGACCTCAATCCCTGGGGCAGGTGGGGGACGTCATTCCCATGCCTACCTTGCCTGTAGCTGTTTCGGGGTGTCTTGCAGTAGCTGTGGTAAATACTGTTTTGGTATGAGCTGTAGGGGGCCAGGATAGGTAGGTGGAGGATATGGAGTATGGAGTAAGTTGGTAAAATGGAGGACAAGGATGGGAAGTGCTGTTGAATGGATGGGGGGAGTGCTGGGGTGTGGTGGCTGTCCAAGTGGCTTGGAATAGACTGCATTGCTCAGTCTAGGGTGGCCCAGACAGACAGAGTAGTCCACAGTGAAGAAGCTGGCTAAGGTGGACACAGAAGCCCGTGCCTGGCTTTCAGCTGTTTGGTTGGAGGGAGGCAGTTGTGAGCCTCATGAAGCCCAGCCAGGCACAGTAGCCTCTGATGGAGGGAATAGGCCTGGCTTAGAAATGGTCACCTTGGGTGGTGATAGAGGTCAGCCAAGCCTGAGAATTGCAAGGCTACCTGAGAAGCTAGTGCACAGGAACAGCAGGAGCATCATTTCGGGCCTAAAGGGCAGAGAGACACTCATGGAGATGCAGGAAAGCTGGGAGGAGTGCAGTGGGACAGGGCCAGCCCTCAGGCCCGACGGATTTTCATCTCGGTGCGCTTAAGGGAATAGTAAAAGCCCTTCCATTGGGCCCAGTTGATGCCATTGGCATAAGAGAGATGGGAGCCACCCAGGTAGAAGCCATTTAGGTTGGCAAAGTGGCAGCTGCGGAACCAGAAGGCTCCTGAGGAGAGGGCTGCACAGTTCTGCACGAAGAGGTCCTGGTCCCGGTCAAAGGTGGAGAACTTCTGACCACTGTGGTAGGACAGGGAGTCACCTGGCAGTGGGAAGAAGGGTGGGAGCTGCTGAGGCAGGGCGCTGATCTCCATGCTAGGAAGGAGAGGATGATGGCAGTGACAAGTGGCACTGTAAGGGAAATCAGGTGGCATCCTGTGGGGTGGGGGACACTCTCCCTGAGCCAGATGTTTGTGGGCTAGCTGGGGCTCTGCGGGCTAGATGGGGCTCTGCAGAGAAGATAAACAGCTGCTCCTTCACAGGGTTGCCTGGAACAGGGCCAGGGCAGTTGCTCTCAGGGCTGAGGAGGGAGCTGGCTGGGCTGGTTGGGATCCAGCTGAGGCCCCGCCAAGGGTAGGAGGGATGAAAAAGGGACCTCAAGAGGGTCACAGGGCCACTGGACAAAGCCAGCCTGGCCTTTTCCCCACTCAGCCCTGCTGGGGCTGGCAGGAGGGGATACCTGCCCCGCCGTCCTCGAAGCCTGCCACGTAGAGTGTGTAGCCGTCCTCCTCCGCACTGACCGCATTGGGGGAGATGGAGAAATCAATATACTTGGCATATGCTGTGTTGTTCTCGAAGTCCTCCAGGTCCACTCGCAGCTCATACTTCTGTTTTAGTGTTAGGAGATGCAGGTTCTGCAGCCCTGGGGGTGTAGGGAGTTGGTAAGCAGAGACCTGGCTGTGAGGCAGCACCTAGCCCTCCTGGCTCCCGCCTTACCGAGCCAGTACTCCCCGTCTGCACGGCCGAAGCCCAGCTTGTAGTCGTTCCAGCCCCGGAAGAAACTTACGGAGCCATTAAATCTCTTCTGGAAGACCTGGAGCCAAGAGAACAGGGAACTGTTTAGTTGAGGGTCCAGTGTGTACGGGCCCCACCCCACTTGACCCATGTAAGCACAAACCTTTTGTTCACTGGCATGTTAAAGAACTGAGTGACAGTTTTGGAGGTTGTTAAAAGGTTTGTGCTGCCGCCTGGCCCCTCACTGAGCAGCTACTGTGTATACCCACCTGGGCTCTTCACCAGCTTGCACTTTGAGGCAGGCAAGGAAAGAGGTGAAGAGGGGACTGAGGGTGTAGGTCAGGGACGGAGTGCTTGCCTATTGTGCATAAGGTCTTAGATTCCATCCCCAAAGCACAAAACAAAAACTCAAAAGGACTCTGGTGGGTGTGAATCCTGGTACTGGCCATGTGACCAAAGGCAAGTTACTTTGGGTTGTACCTTAGCCTCCATTAAATACTTAGAATTACTAAGAAAGTGATGAGTGTAATCACACCCATGTTAAAGGGAAAATCAGGTTCACTGAGGTGAAGCTCAGGGTCACACAGCTAGGAGTAAACAGATCTGGCCTCCTCCCACTCACCGTCCACTTGCCGCCCTCGGTGGTCATGTCGCAGAAGACAGGCACTGGCACACTGGGGCCCGAGGGGTAGATGAGGTACACACCGTCCATCTGATATCCCAGCGTGTAGATGTCATCGCAGTCCAGAGGCTGCTGCAGGCAAGACTTCTCCAGAGCTGAGGGTGGGAGTTTGGGGACAGTGAGGAGAGGGGGACTGAGATTCCCCAGTTTGTCTCAGTCCCTGGGGTCAGGAGACTCCCATGAGAAAGTGTGAGTTTTCTGCTCAAGAGATGGTTTCATCACCTGCTGCACTTGGTGGCCTTTATACCCTCTCTTCACCCCATCTGTTGCCCCGAAGTGTTTTGGCCCGATCTGTTTGTGAATATGGGGCTGCTTACCGTCTCCCCGGATCCCGGTGGCCTGGGGGATGCATGGAGGCATCCAGAAAAGCAGCAGCAGCAGCGGCAGGGCCAGAGGCAGGAAGGCCTGGTGACAGGAAATGGTCAGTGAAGTCCCCGACCCCAAGGATGCCTGTTGCCTCTGCATTTGCTCCATTGTATATGCTGCCACTGCCTGAAACCTTTTCATGTCCTTGGCCCTCTTTTTCCTCCCTAGTGACCCCACTTTCCTGGACAAAGCCCACCACCCTTGGAGCTTTTGTCTCAAGAGAACACCTATGTGTTCATAGTCAGTCCCCTACGGGCAAGTGGCTTCTCCACAGGTGGTCTTAACTTCTGAGTCCAGGAGCTACCCACAGTGGGCCCAGTACCTTCATGCTGTCTGTTCGGCTCAGAGCGGCTGGTTGTCTGAGGCCCCAGACTGCAACCGCCCAAAGTTATGTGCTGGGCCCCTGGCCAGCTGCCTCAGCCCGCCCTCCCCCAGAGCTGCAGAACCCCCCTCTCCACACACGACCAGCATCAGCTTACACTGCCAGGGGCCAGGGGACCACCTGGGTCTCATTAGGCCTTTTGTGCTGCAGACCAGATGTTAACTCCCTGCTGGACCTGGTTGCTCCCTAGATCCCACTTTGCCATCTGCCCTGTTGGACTTGTGGGCCCCTGGCACCCCCAGCTGGCCCCAGCCTACCCCTGCTTCCTGACAGCGTCCCTGCAGCGGTCTGCTTATTCTCTCCCTCCTGTCCTGGCCTGTGCTTCATCAGCCACTGGGGGAGGGCTGTGAGGGCAGGCTTGGGTGTGGGTGTGCCTGGGTTCTAGGGAGGGGGACTACTTGGGGGGATGAAAGGCTGGGGGCAGCTTCACTCCTGATGGGGGAGCCTGCCTGGAGTGGTGGAGGGGGACAGGGCAGCAGGGGCCAGGCCGTCTCCTGGCAGGCTGAGGACATTTCTGAGCCATGAGCACAAAGCTGCAGGCGGCCAACTGCTCAGTCTGTCCCGGCTCACGCCAGGGCCCCTCTCCAACCCTTCCCCCCAGGCGCACCTCCTTTCCCCTCCCACAGTTCCCGGGCCCATCTGGGCCACTTTTGTTTCTCCTCGCCCCACCCTCTTCCTTCTTCCAAGCCCCTTGCTTGGCCCCTACCTCCTCAGCTTCTCCAGCAGGGCTCTCAGCACAGGTTTCCATTCCCTCAGGCCCCAGAGCTACCTCTTCCTCTCTTGTGCCTCATCAAGCCTGAGTCTCTACCTCCCCACCATCCTTGTTACCCACCTCCTCCCTCAGCGGAGATGCTTGTGGCCCAGCGCCTTCACTGATGTTCTTGCTGTTGCCTTTTCCCTTCCTTAGGTCCTCCATAACAGAAGAGCCTCCTAGATCTTCATTGCTCTCATGCTCCTCTGTGTAAGCCTGCAGTGGCCCCCTATTGTCTGAGGTTAAAATTGAACTGAGGTTAAAATTTGCAGTGTGGACTTGAATTTCAAGTCTGACTCCAGCCTACTTTTAGGGCCTTGCCCCTTACTACTTGAGACTCAGAGGCTGCCGCTGGGCCACTGCAGACTTCTGACCATCAGTCCTGTGCCTTTGCCGGCACTCTTTGCAGTGACCACTCGTCTATCTCTTCTTGGCCGTGAATGCTAAGTGTTGCTCACTTCCTCAAGCCCAGCGCTGTCACAGAGTAGACCCAGTATACACATTTACTGAGGACAAGTGTCTATATGTGCTACACTTTACACTGGCTGCAGCATCTGCTCCACACAAGTGGCAACAGGTTTCAGACAGTGAATTGCAAAGGTAATAGGTATTAGGAAAGGATATTAGTTGAATGGATGAACATATGAAGTGTTCAGAAGACTGTGATACAGCAGGGGACAGGTTGGTCCCCTGTCTACTCCTGAATTAGTAGATAAGCCTTTTTGAAGAACTCAGTTGCTTTCCTCAATTTGGTTCTGTAGTTGCTGGTAAGAGATACATTACCTCTGTTCAGTGTTGAGTCTTGTCTTTGGGGTTCTAGAACCAGATTGCTTTCCAACTCAGGTTCTGGCCAGGGAGATAGCTCAGTGGCATAAGCACCTGCCTGGTAAGTGCAAGGTCCTGAATTTGATCCCTGGTACCAAAAAACAGAAACAAAAAGGGTTCTGCTACCTGATAGATGGGCGACCTTGGATAAATTCCTAGTCCAATGATGGTGAACCTTCTAGATTCAATGTTACTGCCTGCTGTGGCATGCATGCCATAGGTCTGCCACCACTACCCTCGTCTCTTTGTGCTTTGATTTCTTCCACTGTAAAATCAGTGATAATATCTACTTATGAGGATGTGGTAAGGATTAAATAATATACATCCAGTTCCAAGAGTGATGCCCACAGTTACTTGTCAAAAGGAAAAAAAATCGCTGGATGTGGTGATGCGGCCTATAATCCTAGTACTTGGGAGGCTGAAGCAGGAGGATCATTACAAGTTTGAGGCCAGTCTGGGTTACATAGTGAAATCCTGTCTCAACAAAACAAAACAAAACAAAACAAGAAAATATCTTAATTAATCTCAATAGAGTGTATTTGAGCAATTAGAAACAAAACAGAAGAAAGTAATAAAAAAACAATGATTTGTGAATTGGTCAGGCCCAGAACCAAAGGAAATTCAGAGAATTCCCACCAATAACATGACCTAAGAGCATTTACAGGAAACAGAAGTGTGGTGTAGAGACAGCTTAATATGTTACAGCTTCATTGGTTAATTGGTTACAGAGCCTCTTGTAATTAACTACAGCTCAGATACTGTGGTTAAAACCCCATCTTGGTTTGGTCTGTTAGTGCAGGAGTCTAGTCCAAATCAATGGGTTCCCACACATTTTATTTAATATACTATAGTGATTATTTAGCAGAGATTAATCAACACCACTGTCATCATAAACATACCTGTTCTCATGTGAATGAGTTGTCTTCGGCAACATGACTTTTATCCTCATCTGTAGAAGAGATGGGTGGCTGCTCTTCAAAATTCATCTTTGGTCCTGAGTGCTAAGATCTCGACTTTCATCTGGCTCATTGCCTAGTCTCCCTTATGGCCGCATGAGGTCATATGTTTGAATTCTGGTCAATAAGATGCAAATTACTGTTACAAAAGTAAGTGGCGAGTCCCTCTTTGTCATTCCCTCTCTCCTACTGGCCGTGATGGCTGAGTTCTTGCTCTCATCTTGGACTGTGGACATGAGGCCTCCTTGGGGCATGGCTGAGGTTGACCAGGGAGGATCTGGACTCTTGGCTTTGTAGAGTGGGTACAAGGTCAGCCCTAGCCCCTTCTCTAGGTCTCTTTTATGTGGATGAGAAAGAAACTTCCATCTAGTTTAAGCATTTTTTTCTGTAACACAGCTGAATTTAATCCCAATCTCTTCTTTCAGCAAGTCCCAGCTAATTTTAGCACAAGGCTACAAAAAGGAAAATAATGAAAAAATCAGTCATCGAAACAAGCAATGTAGTCAAAGTCAAGTATGAAAGATTTTTGGAGAACATGATGAAAAACAAATATAGACACCAAAAAAAAAAAAAGACCTGTAAACAAAAAAAGGGAATTAAATGATTATGTATCATGTTTAGCATATTACTTTGAAAGTTTTTAATGATTATGTGTGTATATGCACCTCAAAGCAGGCACTGTGTGTTGGAAGTGGTTGGTTTAACTCTTTGGGGAAGGAAATTTGGCAGTCAGTAGTTTTTTTTTTTTTTTTTTGGCAGAACCAGGGATCAAACTCAGTCCCTTGTGCTTGCCAGGGAAGCGCTTATTCTACTGAGCCATTTCCCCAGCCCCAGTACTCCTTCTTTGAAGAAATTGTCTGAAATAAACATTCAATCACATTGAAAAGCTCCCATGCACTCGGGCCCAGCATGAAAACCTCGCCCATGTTTGAGGGCTCACTTCCCAGGTGTCCTCACAGCTCCCTGGGTGTTATATGACCTCTCCATAGCCGAAGAAGGGCACTACCCTGGGCTTCACTTGGGGAGCTAATGGTTTGGAAGAGAGGCAGGAAGAACGCATTCTTGGGGTGGTGGTGGTCCTAATGGTGTCCTGGTTCTAGGGTCTTTCGCTGGTTTCTTTGGAAATGTGTTAAGCAGCCCTGGGTTGGGCTTAGACTGCAGAACCCCAAGCTGGTTGTTTTGAGTCAGGATCTTTCAGAACTGTCCAGGGGAGCCTTGAACTTGTGATTTGCCTGCCTCAGCCTTCTGAGTAGCTGGAATTATAGGCGTGGACACTGGACCTGGTAGTTGACTTTTCTTCTTCTTCTTCTTCTTCTTCTTCTTCTTCTTCTTCTTCTTCTTCTTCTTCTTCTTCTTCTTCTTCTTCTTC